TACATACATACATACATAAAACATACGAATAGGTATACATGTATTCATGTATTTACCTACTGCCTTACTTTATCTATTTGTGTACTGTGTTGTCTGTTTGTTTTGTATATACATATATACACACAGATGTAGTTATGTACTTAATATTCGTGGGTGTGTGTATATATATATATANNTGTGTGTGTGTGTGCACATATCTATATACACATGTCTAGTTAGTTGTTACAGGAAACTACATATACTGTATTTATATATAGCGATCAAAGAGGGTGTATGTTGTCTAGGTAGACCTCTAACATATATATATATATATATGTGTGTATATATATATATACGTGTATATATATATATATAGAACATGTGTATATGTATACACACACATAACTGGTGTGTGCCTGATCCACCGCCGAGCCAACCCATCGCAACGACGGCTTGTGGCGGGCACCTCTGCTCAGGGTGAACCCAGAACCTTAAACTCTAAACCTTAAGCCATAAACCCTAAGCCCTAAACCCTGAACCGTAAACTCTAAACCTAAAACCCTAAACCCTAAACCTTAAACTCTAAACCTTATGCGCAAATTGAGGCAGTACCCACTCGAGGCAGATTGGCTAGGGAAAGCCTTGATACACAGAATTAGATTTGGTATCCGTAAACATACAAGACATACATCCATGCTTACCTACCCACCTACCTACATAAATGGATATATTCTTGCATATGTACAAGTACATAAGCATCAACAGTATATAGATCAAATTACAAACATATGCATGTGTATACATACATATATATATATATATATGTACATATGCATACCATGTTTGTCTGCAAACGTCCTCTGGTCGAGGTACCTGTCGGCCAGTCAGTATGGTCGCAACCCTTATAGCAGGTATTTAGAGCCCCCGGTGCAGCTCCAGATGCCGTTTGCGGAGACCTGACATATGGCAGGTCCTCCTCGAAGCCTACTTAAAGGATCATGGGACTTAGTAACTGAGGTTATAAATAAAGTAACTATACTTATACCCCAAGTAGGGTACTTACAACCCTACTTACTAAGTCCCAAGATCCTCCAAGTATATCAACCCCTAAAGCCCACCCGACAACCCTGATCCTCCCCTTCCCTTCTAGGTTTTTCGCAACAAGCGCAGTAAGATCCAATCAAGTTGGTGCCCGAGTGCGCACCTTCAGATCCAGCAGCTCTTCTGCGACGGTGCGCCGAGCCTTTGGCCAAAGCTTCTGGGATTTAGGGTTTAAGGTTTAGGGTTTAGGGTTTGGGGTTAACCCTAAGGGTCCAAAGTACCTCAAGCGGAGGCTGTAGATATGAAGTTTGTTGGGGTTGGGATTAACAAAATGGTTTAGGTCCTAGAAGGGTTTCGGTTTTGGGTGCATGTTTAGGGCAACATCTGATGATCAGGCGCACTAGCCCCTGGGTATAAGATGAACAGGGGGCTCAGGTGTTGACGGATTTGACGGAGTTTGGCGGAGATTGGGGTTGGAAGCACCCTAAACCCTAAACCCTACTGCAAAACCCCAACCAACTTCCAGATTCCACTAACTCCCAACGTCTACAGTTTGGGGAAGTTTAGGGTCTGGGCTTAAGGGGGCTTGTGGGTGTCGGAGACTAGCCTTTCTTTTTGGGTAACCTCAACCAAAACCCTGGAATTAAGAACCGAAAGCTCTCGTACATCTACGACAAACCCGAACCTGGAAGCCACGGCATGGGTCCCAAATTTTCCAAGTAGCAGAGCATACCCAAATAAAGGTGGAAGTGTTCGACTACTCCTACTACTACTGCTACTACTGCTATTACTACTACTGCTACTACTACTACTACTACTACTACTACTACTACGACTACTACTGCTACTGCTACTGCTACTGCTACTAATTCTACTACTGCTATTACTACTACTGCTACTACTGCTACTACTGCTACTACTGCTACTACTACTACTACTACTACTACTGCTACTACTACTACTACTACTACTACTACTTCTGCTGCTACTGCTACTACTGCTACAACTGCTACTGCTAATACTGCTACTACTGCCATCACTACTACTGCTACTACTGCTACTATTGCTACTACTACTACTACTACTACTACTACTACTACTACTACTACTACTACTACTATTACCACTGCCACCACTGCTACTACTACTACTACTACTACTACAACTACTACTATTACTACCAGTACAA